GCCCTGGCCCCGCCCCCGGCCCCGCCCCGGACCGCCCAGGCGCGGAGGCGCACAGGCCTCCTCTGCGCTCCGTAGACTGCGAACGGCCACGGCGCTAGACTCTGGCGGCGGGACTTCCGGCCGCTCGGCTCCCGCAAAATGGCGGCCGCAGCGGGCCTTTGCGGCTTCTTTTTCCTCTCCCTAAATTCAGGTGCAGATGTCTCTTATCTTTCCGCCTAACCCTAGCCTCGTGTGGTCCGCCAATTCCTCTCTTGATTAGCCTAGTCGTTTTTGTAGCACAGTTTTAAAATGTCGTAGAGCTAGGATCCTGGGTCAGAATCTTGGCGTTCCACCTTTCCCAAGGCAGCGTGACCTTGACCTTCCTAAATCAGAGACGAAAATGCCTGTAAAGCTTTAGCACTCAGCTTAATTTAGAACAAGCACACAGTTCCTGACTGCTTGTGGATCTGTTGTGGGGGAAATGACATGCATATCCCGTCAGTATACTGGAAGGAAATTGCTTGTATTGGTTGAAAAGTTACAGAGCAGAAACTGAAACTATGGAAAAGTGAATTCTCCTTTCTCCTCACTTTACCCTTGTTCTCTATCTTTTAAGCCCTTCCTTGTTGCCCTTGCACCTAGCTACTTAAAAAAAATCTCCTGACTGTATCTCAAAACTAAAAGGATTTGTCTTTAGAAAGTATGGAAATTAATTCAATTAAATGAATACTTACTGAGCTTTGACTTTTAGTAGACTACTGGAAGATAGGCGAGGGAAGGTAAGTTAGGGTGAAACTCTAGGAGTTTCCTTAGGTTAGCCCTAGATTTTGGACTTTATCGTCTGACCGGAGTAAAACCATTTAGTTTTTTTCTTTTCATGAGAACATGTTGTAATGATCACACTGTTTTCAGATACGCAGTCTGGAAGCTTTCCCAGGACTAGTTGAAAGACTGAATGCCAAAAAAACACATGACTTTGGGAAAAACCAAGACAGGAGGAAATAAAGATTTACTGTGGGATGATGATAATGAAAAGAATAGAAGAGGCCTGAGAGATATTACAGAAGGAGAACTGATGGGACTGGATAACTGATAGGGCTAATTGCTCATCCATTACTGTAAAGGAAGAGGAATTGAGCTAGGTAACCCCTACATCCTTACTAGTTCTAAAGTTCTACTATTTCCAATCATTCTGTTATCTGAAGATGAAAGGAAGAAATCTTTCAAGTGAAGGAAGTGGTTACAAGAAGATAATGAATTTGATTTTAGGCCTCAAGAAATTTAGTTCAGTCTTCTCTCTTGAAGAAGTTACCATCTTTTTCATCTGAGGGCCTAGAGATTAAGCTGTTGATCTAAGATAGCTGGCAAGAGAATGGGAATCTAAGTGCTCACTGTCCTGTGAACTAACTGCTCATGAAGGTATCAGCACATGTAAGTAGAGATTTCCGGTAGACACGTAGGGAGAAAACAGAAGCTAGCTCAAGAGAGAGAAAGAACAGAGCCAAAGATGTGGTTTGGAGATAACTGTGTGGAGTGGGTGAGTTTTCTGATGAGAGCAGCTTGGGGGTGGGCGTGAGGTGGGGGGACTCTAGGAACAAAGTGTATACAGAGATGAAGGACTTCATTAAAAAGTCATCCTTAGATAAGCAATTACTGATGAATGCCATAGGTAATACTTTGATTCCACTATCATGTCTGCTAATCATTCTGTGAAATGCCAACCTGTGTGTACTATTAACTAAAAAAAAAGAAGTGAAAAGGACAACACTTAATTTCTGTTAACCTTTTACTATATATGTATCATTTTTTCCTCTATGTATATAAATCAGTTAAGAAAAATAGTGTCTTACAATCACATTATTTTTCACACATGTGATTTTTAGTAACTTTTTCCATTTAACATTTTTATTCATAAATATAGATCTATAGTTTCTTTTTAATATTTATTGAATATTCCCTATTGAAATTTTGAGGATGATCTTCCTTGAAAAAGTGAGACTCCAGGCCATTCATAAAGTCTAATTAAAGATGAATAAAGAAGAGGAAGACAAAATAGTACAGATATTTAGACTGACTTAAAATGTGTTGTTTGAATATGTCTAATATGATTTCAGATTTCTTAACAATATTTAGTTTCTTTAAAACTCCTTCCCCCTTCCCATGGCACCAGTTTCTCCTTAGAGATACATATGATTCCAGAGAAGCTGACCTCACTCCACCTTCAGAGGTGATGTAATGAAGCTAGGCTATCCAATCAGTGCAGTCCATCTCTTTGGAATCAATAATTGAGTCACAATAGGCATTGGCACTAGGGTAGTTTGATAGAATGGGTCTTAGGACTTTTGCTGAGAATGTTCTACTAGACAAGAAGAAGATGTGGCAGGCATCTTGGGACCCTGAAAGGAGCCGGTCTTAGAATGATGCAGACATCAAGGAAGGTACAGCAGAGAGAAGGAAATAAACGGGTTCTTGACACAGTAAGCTGTAGAGTCAAGCCTCATTTGAAGCCAGTCAGCCTGTGGACTTCTCACTCATGTGAGCCAATCAGTTTTCTTTATTGTTTAAACAAGTTTGAGTTGGGTTTTCTGTTACCTGAAATCAAAATATATGGGAAAAAATTCTAGAAGAAATGCTAACAGTAATTATCTCTGAGTGGTAAAAATACACATGATTTTTATTTTTTCCATGTAGAAAAGTTCCCAAAATTTCTACCCTCAAAAATATGTATTAATTTTGTCAGGAAAATGAAATAAGTCATAAAGAGGATATTTTGTCTATATGGAAATGATGAACAATACCTAAAAGTAAATATTTTTCTGAAACAAATTTAAGAGTCACTACTAAGTATTAAACCAGGTAAGTACACAAAATCCACCTATAAAATAGAATCAGTTAAGGGCACTGATACAGTGCAATATATGAACTTGCACAAGGCTAAGATCTTGTTTTTGTAATCTTTGTATCCCTAGCATTTATAATAATGTTTTCCTTGACATGCGGTAGATGTTCCCTAAACGGTTTTTGAATGATTGAATAGTACATAGCTGCCTACCAGCTATCCAAGATGTTAAGGTGTACTTCCTTCTATTCATTGGGAATGGTGGGGCTTGGGGCAGGCTGTTCTCAAACATTCCAAGGTGGCATATTGATTATTTTGATTTAAAGTTACTTGAGAAACAGTGGGTAGAGGAAGAACACTGACCCTCCTTTGTTCCCCTGAAAGCAGGAAGCAAAGCTCCCATAGGAAGATATCCTCCCTATGCCTTGAGGATGGAGAGCATTGAGACAGGGAATTTGAGGCCAAGAAAGCTGTATTAACTTTGTTACTCCTTCATTAATTTGCTACCACAAGCAAAAACCCCTTTGTTTTGTCAAGTGATTTCTTCACAAGTGATTGATTCTTTGTCTAAAAAGGGATATAAACAGCCTGCTTTGGTCTCTTCTTAAGTTTGTATGAAATTAAATCTGTTTGTTTTTCTCTTGTTAATCTTTCTTATGTTAATTTAATTAGTAGACCAGCCAAAGGAAACTAGAAGGATAAAGGAAAAATTTTCTTCCCCTACATGGAACTATTTGATATAAGCAGCTGTGGTAAAGCTCTTTTATAGTAGCTGGATTTCTTATTTTATCCAGCTTTTCACTTGGCCCAGGTTTAGATATTTATTTAGGCTTTCTCCAAAATTGTGGCTTTTTGTTATTTTAAATGCAGTAATTAAATCATTATTTCTAATCTACCAAGATAAAACCCTGAAAATTATCTTTAATTTAATACTGTGTTTTTTATAAATACATAACAGCTTCTCCCACCCCACTTTCAGTTTGCTATTAAAATACCCTTATTTCTGGGTTGGTAGGCACATGGAGGTGCCTGGAGAGTGGCTCCTCCAGAGAGGGCATGGAAGCTCCGTGCCCCTTCCCACATACCTTCCATCTGGATGTTCATTTGTATCCTTTATCATATCCTTTTGTAATAAACTGGTAAATATATATATATAATATTTGTAATAATAACATATATAATGATAGTATATATAATACATCTATCCTCACAAAAGCAATGAGGGAAAGTAGAATCTAAACATCTCACCTTGTTATTTACCTTATGGACCTCAGGTAAGGCTCAAATGTAGTTAAATGGGCAAGGGCTTTTGTCTGGGCCAGCACTTAAGTTTTAAGCAGAAAAATAATGAAACCAAACTTAGATTATGAACCTGAAAGTTAAATCAATGATTTAGGTAAGACAGGGTGTAGAAACCATACAATAGCAACATGATGACTTTGTCTCAGGATTTAGCTTCTTGATACTTGTGCTTATGTTTTGACTTTTTTTTTTTTTGGTAAAGGGGATAGAAATCAGGAAGCTGGAGATGAAAAAATAAAACAAAACAAAAAAACTCCTGTTTTTACTACCAGTTTTTTCACTTAAAAATGTGCTCCCAGATAAACTTATGTAATAGTCAATCATTAAACAAAGAATCTTATAAATGTGTAGAACATTTTGTAACTTGAATAATCTCTAAGGTGAAAAACTGTAAAACTAACCAACTTTGTATAATATAAAGAGGAAGTGACAAAAACCTCAGATTTAGTTTTTACTTTGGAGCAAGAAAGTCTTCAGCTGATTCTAGTTAAAATCTGGGTGGAACTTTTGAGTAAATAACTAGTTCAAAAAAAGGCTATCATATCTTTAGTACAACAATTAAGCACAGACCTCAGAAACATTCTTCCAATAGAGTATGTATTTCAGGAGTTCCACTCTACCTCCCTCCTTGAAAGGGGAGGCACTCTACCTGTGTTTATTTCCGTGGTATCCTTAGTATCTGGAACAGTGCTTGGCACGTAGTAGGCACTTGATAAATATTAGTTAACCTAATAACTCTTGGAACGCCAGCTAAACATGTTAATGAAGTTTCTGTATCTGGAGAACTTAAAACGGAAACACCTGCTCACTCTTATGCTGTTTTTTTTTCAACTAAGAACAAAAGTAACTGAAGTAGAAGTATGGGAGTTCAAGTCTCTATGTGGCAGTAGAGGAACCAGATGGTTTTGTGACTGACAATAGCTGAAAAAAAAGGCAAATCATGAGGAATTATCATTGGTTGTCACATAGACTAAATATGATAGTGTCCCAAGAATTAATTCTACAAAGATTTTAATGTCCCCATGATGTCCAAAGTTATTTAGACTTTCCTTTTACCTTAACATCTATGCAAGCTTTCTCTTAAGCCATTCCAAAAAATTGAAACAGGAAAGAGAGCTTAAGACTTTTGAACTACAAGAGCATTATTCAGACCAAGTCAGATGGAGGCCTGGGCACTAGGTTTGGAGAAGGCTGTTCTCAGAAAATAAAATTGATAAAAGTAAGTTTCTCAGTGCAGCGTTAATTGGCATCTAGGCTTCTATAGCATACAGCTAATGGCACGATTAACCGTATCCTGAAGTCTGACTTATTACTAGTTGTAATAGCCTAACTCAAGCTTCACATGGATATACATAAACATTTTGGAGACAAGAGTTTATAGTAATACTAACATTTGATAAAATTCCTAGAAGATCCTTAGAAATTTCATTTCATATGTTGCCTTGGTAATTGGTCAAGGATTTTTTTTCTAATATGGTTGTCAAATCAAGAGCTGGTGTTAAAAGTTTAAGCGCAGTGTTTACCATGTGGATATAATTGTTTATTTTAGAGGCAAAAGGAGATTATCCCTGAGGGCAATTGAAACAGTATTTAGAAATCATCAAACCCAGGCAGTGATCCCAGTGAAATTCAGAAACATCCTCCTGAATCTTTTCAACCATTTTAATCTCACTCATCCAACCATGCGTGTCAAAAATTAGAGTATAAAAGAAATGACCATTTTTCTTGTTTGTCCAGAATTCCTCTGCTAACTTTGGAAGGTAGTAGGCAGGAAAGGAGGATGACCTCTGTTACAGGGAGTTTAGCCAGTGTGGAGAGGTTGCAGAGGAAAAGCCTTCATGGCTTTTCCTAGCAGCTATTTCAAAAAATGTAGAGCGTTCATGGAAGTAATTACAGAGTAACCTGAAGAAGAGAAATGTCTCCTCCACTCTTGGAAAGGGAAATGAGAGAAGCTTTGTATGAGTCCCTCTGTGGGGAGGTGACCAATGGGAAGTTGTCGCTAAGCAGCCAGCTGGTGCAGGGATTATGCTGTAGGTAATGTTCTGTAAAAGGATAGAAGGAGGAGGGTTAGAGACTAGCCATTTCCTCCAATTTGATAAGAGCTGTTCCATTATTTCTTCTTTTAGGCCTCAGTCTTGATGTGCTTTCAAGTGCTCTGTCACTTTTTCTCTTTCTCAGCATGTTCTCATCATCTCATTTCACTATTATTACAGGTATACTTTGAAGATGCTGTGGGTTCAGTTCCAGGCCACCACAGTAGAATGAATACTGCAATAAAGTGAGTCACATGAATTTTGGGGTTTTCCAGTACCTATAAAAGTTATTTTTATATTGTAGTCTGTCAAGTGTGCAATACCATTATGTCTAAAAGACAATGTACATACCTTAATTAAAAAATACTTTATTGCTAAAAAATGCTGACCATCATTGGACAACACAGGATGGCCACAAACCTTCAATTTGTAAAAAGTGCAATTATCTGTGAAGTGCAATAAAGCCAAGTGTAGTAAAATGAGGTATGCCTGTACATGCTAGTGATTTGGTGCTAACAGGCTACCTGCTTCCTCCACACATTATTTGTTCAATAGGATTTGCATTTATAGGTTACTGATCAAGGGCCTAGGAGAATCATGTGAGCAAATAGACAGAATAACGTGGGACTGGGATCAGTTATAAGGATTGAGGTACAGTGGAATAAAAAGCAGAATGTGTAATCATAGTCAGTAGTCCAAAGGTCTGTCATGGAATTGCTCCATCAGCCTTCCACTAGCCTTACACTTGGGGAATAGAATTGCTTTATACTGAGGTATAACTGACATACATTATATTAACTTCAAGTGTACAACATAATGATTTGACATTTGTGTGTACTGTAAAACGTTCACTTGGGGAATATAATTTTTCAAAATACAGATGCCAGGGCACCAGTCAGACTTACTAAATCAGCATCACTGGAATTGGGTCCAAGATCTCTTATTTTTTTCCCCCTATATTCTGCAGATGATTCTAATAATTCTCAAATTCCTAATTGAGAGCTCCTCATTTAGGGAATAGCTAGAAATTATAAATCTGTGTCAAGGGCAGGCAGGAATTTTGGTCTTAGAGGAGGGAAGAAATTTTTTCCAGAGTCTTTTTACTTTATGGGGAGAAATGTGTTCTTATTGTAGGGAAAACGTCCCACTGAGTCTGGCAGCTTCCTTTCGAAATCCTCTCATTAACTGTTTTCCTATCAGGACATTGCTCCTCCTGTGAAACCCGTTTCTTTTTGGTCTGTGGACAAAAGCAAAACAAAACTGATCATTGTCTTCATTTTTTGTATGTATACACCATGTCCTCACTATCGTGCCACTATCAAATTCCAGTCAGAAAGTTCATGTTATGGGCAAAACTGGGTGAAGTAATTTTATGGCACATTCAATAACTAAACCAATACATTTATTGTATTGTGGATTATGTAGCAAAACCCCAGTGCAGTCATCTCACCATCTCTTAAAACTTCAGTTTTTGAGAAACAATCATGATTCCTCTTATCTTTCTTCTGAGATATTATTTTCTAAAACATGGCTTTTTACTAATCTTTTCTTTTATAGTTTGTGCGTTTGGTGTCTCTTTTAAGAAATGCTCACCTGCATCAAGGTCACCAGCATTCTCTTCTAAAAGTTAAATGTCTCTTAAAATTGTTATTCTTTGTACCATTTTCCAAATTCTCATTTATTGTTAGAGCCCCACTCTAGATTCAAAGTGTAGAAAGTTCCTGCCCAACACAGAGAAGAATACTTCTGTAGCTCCTGCTACAGAGTCTAGTTCCAGAAACCTTTAATACAGAATAAAATAAAGTAGGAATGTACAGCAATAAAAATCTATACAATATGGTAAAAGAAGATAGCAGAGTAGTATCAGCTAATGGAAATATAAGTGATCTGAAAGTCAATGTATATTTCCCCTGGAGATACGGAAGGGGTGAGACCTTAAGCCTTGAGAAGAGTGAGCAAACGCAGGGCGTGTGGGCTGATGGCTGGTAATCATGCTGTGGTTATGCTTATTGCATGTTTGTCAGGTGTCTAGCCAGTGTATATTTATCATGTGTTTGTCAAATGTCTACCAGAGGTATGTTTATCATATGTCTGTCAAATGTCTAGCAGGGCCTTTAAGATGTCTTTGAGTAAAAGTTACTGTACAGCTCCAGTATCTCTGGGATGGCTTGATCAGTCCTACCCTTTCTAATAAGAGTTTCCCAATCTGTCATCCAGTCACCCCACCCTGTACCTTTTGGTTCTTAATCCTAGCCCTCCTCCATTCCAAGAAATTACCCAGAAGTTCTCACTAGTTTATCTTATTTTCACAGATGTTTATTCTTTTTCCCTTTTACCATACTTATGGTTTTGCACACTGAGTTATGGCCCTGGTTGTATGTTTTGTGATGAGCACTTTATGTTATAAATACTTGTTGCCTTACATCTGTTGTTGCTGGGATGATATCTGTTGCACTATGATTGGGCTGATTCTTCAAATAAATGTCTCTTTCATCTTTGACTCTCCAATTCTCTTATGTTTTACACGTATTTCCTTGGGAGTGGGCTTAAACTTCTCACTCCCTATATTCCCTAAATTTTTCCCCTTAGCCTTTTATTCAATGTAGTAATTCTGGCTGTATTGATACAGATTAGCCTCACATATCAATTCTCTCTTTTCAATGACTCTTCTCGCTGCTGCCTTGTGCCTTACACTTCATGCCTAGTCTCCTACCTGGTCTAACTCCTGTGTCTTGCCACTCTGTATTATGTTTTCTATGACTGTGGAATACTTTTAATCTCAAGTACCAGAAAACTCTACTCATACAGACTTAAACAACAACCTAAAAAGCCCAGATGGGATAGGCTTCAGGGTTGATTTGATTTGAGTTCAACCATGTCTTCAAAGACCTGGTTTCTTCATCTTTTTCTGCTTTGCCTTGTCAGCATTGTTCCAAACCTGACTTCTCTCAGAGTGGCAAAGTGAATCCAGAAATTCAAGTTTTATATCTGTATGCAGCTCCACCCAGAAAGGGAAAAAATGTCCAATCTGGTGGCTCTTCCATAGAAGTGAGAAGGCGTCTTTCCTAGAAGCCCACTACTGTAACTGATGCATTGCGTGTTACTGGACAAAATTAGTCCAGATACCCTTCCTATACTGACATCTGTGCCTGAGAAATGGCATGCACTGTGTGGCTTACATGTGGTTTACATGAACCAATCATTGTGGAAAGAGGAATGATATGACCTGATGAATTTAGGCCAATCTGAGACCACTCCTAGAGCTGGGAGTTCACTCAACTTCTCTCTAAACATAACAGAGAAGTTCACATCTAACTCAAAGTCTGGAAATTCCAAGGAAGGAAGAATGGGGAAATGGATATTGAGTAACTAAGAAATGCCCTGAAGATCCCTTCTGTGGTGACTTCAAAAATTGATAAAACACAACTTTTATTTCATTGTTTTGGTTCTCTAGTTCAAGACCAAAATCTGGTCCACCACGTGTTTTTATGAAGTTTTATTGAAACAGCTGCACTCACTTAAAAAGTGTTGTTCCCAGCTGCTTTCATACCACAGAGGAGACTTGAGGAGTTGGGACAGAGAGTCTATGATATGAAGACCTTAAGCATTTATTATTTGGCCCATTCAAAAAATAATGTTTGCTGACCCTTGGCCTAGAAGTTTATGTTCTTTTCTTTTTTTTTTTGCATTTTTTATTGAGTAATAGTCATTTTACAATGTTGTGTCAAATTCTATTGTAGAGCACAATTTTTCAGTTATACATGAACATATGTATTTTCATTGTCACATTTTTTTCATTATGAGGTATCACAAGATCTTGTATATATTTCCCTGTGCTATACAGTATAATCTTGTTTATCTATTCTGCATTTTAAAATCCCAGTGTGTCCCTTCCCACTCCCCCTCCCCGGCAACCACAAGTTTGTATTCTATGTCTATGAGTCTGTTTCTGTTTTATATTTCTGGGGGGTTTTTTGTTTTTTGTTTTTTTTTAGATTCCTCATATGAGCAATCTCATATGGTATTTTTCTTTCTCTTTCTGGCTTACTTCACCTAGAATGACACTCTCCAGGAACATCCATGTTGCTGCAAATGGCGTTATGTTGTCAGTTTTTGTGGCTGAATAGTATTCCATCGTACAAATATACCACATCTTCTTCATCCAGTCATCTATTGATGGACATCTAGGCTGTTTCCATGTCTTGGCTATTGTATATAGTGCTGCTATGAACATTGGGGTGCAGATGTCATTTTGAAGTAGAGTTCCTTCTGGACACATGCCCAGGAGCAGGATTCCTGGGTCATATGGTAAGTCTATTTCTAGTCTTTTGAGGAATCTCCATACTGTTTTCCACAGTGGCTTTCCTTGCTTCCCTCTCCCACTCTTGATGATTTAGATGTCTTCTTTTACAATTTTATGTTTATTCTTTTTGTAATTCATGGCAGTTATCTCCTTTCCAGTTATGAGTTTCTCATTTTTGTAGCATCCTGCTTCTTTTCTATTTAGAGTAGATCTGTCAATATTTCTTTTAGCATGGGTTTAGTGTTGCTAAACTCTTTTAGGTTTTGCTTGACTGTGAAGTTCTTTATCTCTCCTTCTATTTTAAAGGATAGCCTTGTTGGATAGAGTATCCTGGGCTGCATCTTTTTTCTCATTCAGGACTTTGAATATATCTTGCCACTCCCTTCTGGCCTGTAGTGTTTGTGTAGAGAAATCAGCTGAAAGCCTTATGGGGGTTCCCTTGTAACTCACTCTTTGTTTTTCTCTT